TCCAGGATGGCACCTCAACCCTTTGTAAACGTAGTTTTAATTAGGAGAAGTTGTAATTTATTAACTTCATTCTTGCTTGCTGAAACTTTCCCTGTTTGTTGTCTGCCTTTTTTTAACTGTTATTAAAGTCCATTTTATTTCTGGAATAAAACAGCAACAGAGGTCTAGGCACACACAGAGAACAGAAGAATATGGGGAAGTATTAGTTGGGTTCCCAAATTGCTTTTTCTAGGTGCTTTTTCTGGGTACCAGTCATGATACCTGTGTACAGTGCTTATCTCCCATACAGATTTTACTTCAGTTCCTTTCTCTGTTCCTGAGATATCCTTGTATTGACCTGTGTAGTCTGACTTTTATTCATCAACAGGCACTTGATGAATACTCTCTAATTTGATAGCAGGTGTTTAAGGTTTGCATGGTAATTATATTACAGATTTTGAGTAAGATTAAACTATAAATATGGCACAAATCTATAAATTCCAACAGTTTTACTATAAAGTAATTTGCTTAATTAAAAAATCCAGACAAAACTGAGAAGAAAGGCAGGGGTTTTGTGTTTTCTAGCTTTAGTATTTCCTTTCATGTGCTGATGGTGCTTGCAGGCTTTAATATCTAATGTAGATACCAAAATTCGTAACAAGGAACCTGGGAAAAGCTCCTCACTTGCTTTTATAAGGAAAATAATTTTTTGTGCCCCTCTCCCCTATTATAGCCTAAGGCAATCTTATAGGAAATACCTTAAGGGACTGCCCTTGAGAGAGGCAAAATCCTGACTTTACAGTAGTGTTAAACGAAGTCCTGGTAACAAAACGAATATAAATAGGTCAGCTTCTGTTAATATACCAACCTTTCATATATTCTCGTGTTATGTGGCATTTATTTAGAGGAGAATGGCAAAGGCAGCCTTAGCATTTCAAAGCCACAGTTTCAGGGGTGCTGGGTTTGGTGATTGCCCGTTCAAACTCCCCCTGTGCCGGGGCTGGGCCTGGGCTGGGCACTGAGGGCTCTGAGGGCACACAGAGCGGTTCCAGCCGGTCCCTCAGGGCACAGAGCGGTCCCACAGGGCACACAGACCGGTTCCAGCCGGTCCCACAGGGCACACAGACCGGTTCCAGCCGGTCCCTCAGGGCACACAGACCGGTTCCAGCCGGTCCCTCAGGGCACAGAGCGGTCCCATAGGGCACACAGAGCGGTTCCAGCCGGTCCCTCAGGGCACAGAGCGGTTCCAGCCGGTCCCACAGGGCACCCCCGAACCCCTGAGTGCCATGGGGTGAGCCAGCAGAGCAGGGACAGCAAACACCCCGTAGGCTGGGAGGGGTGAGGGGGAGAAGCAGCCCCAGGAACACCGGAGCAGGTATCCATGCTGGGATCCACATGGGAAAACGAGTGGAGAAGGGAAAAGTGGGAGGAGGAAGGAGGAACCGGGAGGAGCTGCTGTGGACTGGCCCCCATTGTTCTCCTGAAGGGTGGGCGTGTTGTAAGTAAAGGAAAAAAATTGGTCTTGGGAGGAAGGGTGGGTTGGGGATGAGGGGTTTTAGGGTTTGGGTTTTTTTGTTTTCTCGCCACCCAATTCTGTTTTAATTGGCAATAAATAAACTCCCCCAAGTGAGGTCTGTTTTGCCAGGATGGTCATTGGTGAGTGACTCCCTGTGTTTATTGCAACCCACAAAAATTTGATCCCATCCCCTCAACCTGACCTTTTGAAGAGAGGGACGGAGGGAGCGGCCGGTGGGGCCTGGCAGAGGGGGAAGGCCCACACCGAAACCACCTTTTGGCTTTTGAACTCCACAGAGTTGTTATGAAGCCATGAAAAGAAAAAAAAAAAAATTGCTGGAATTCCTCTTTCTGATGCACAGCTGCACATGTGAAGGTCATCAAGCACTGATTAGTGTGACTTGTTAGTTATAACAGATCAAAGAAATGCAGAAAAGGTTTTTATGTCTGGGGATGGTAAAATAAGGCAGTAACACATGTTAGAGGACTTGTGCTGCTTGTGAGAAGAGTCCCCGATTCATTAAGGCCATCCAGGTTCTTCGTCTGTGACACATCTTAATTATTGCCATAAAAGTTCTGCACAAACACTTGCTTTTATATTCCAGATGCAAAACATTTGCCAAATATGTTTATAAGTGCACACAGCAGATTGCTCTGGATGGACTGATAAAGTGCTCCTTACTTGGGAGCTTGTGATAAAGCCAGATGAAAAGTGAGAGGTTAGAGGTTATATGAAAATGTGCTGTAAAACAGAACAAATGCTTACATATCAGACTGACTTGCATACTTTTTATTTAACTATTAAAAAGATGATAAAGTTGCAGGTTTGTTTATGGTGCTCCTCTAATTGAAATTGAAGTATATTGGGGGTTTTTTGGCTTGAAAGAGAGAAGGAAGAGGAAAGTCATTAAAATAAGTGCATCTCCTTCCTTCCTTCTCACCCAAATGGACCTTATTAGTCACAGGACTCATGTAGTGTGAGGAGGGATGTTATGAACTGTTTTTTTTGACTGCTTCAAACCTTGTGCCTCCTGCAAGCCTGGAATTAAGCCACCTTCAACTCTGTTCTAGCTCTCCTTGTTCTCTCATGAGTGTTTTCCTTCACTTTCATGGGTCTTGCATCTTTGATTCTTCATAACTCCTTCCTTGAGATCACATTTACGGCTTCGTGGGCTTTGCACTTCCCCTTCCTCCCTTCCGTGCAGGGCCTTTGTATCTGCTTGAAGGACACCCTGTGTTTAGCTCTGTCTGCCACTGCTTGTGCACTCTGCTTAAAGCAGGTGAAATACTTGCATTCTGTGATCTCAGTTATTTGTGTTTAACGTAAGTGCTTCTGATACCTCTGTAAAAATGATGTTTAAACACAACCGTAGAACATACAGTAATTTAGTCAGCACAGTGGTCTGGACATGAATGCATTGAGAACCTTGAAGCAGCATTACAAGAGTGAGAAAGTGGCTCTTAGCAGACTTTGGGAAGCCTGAATATGATGATTTCTGAGCTGATTCTCATGATAATTTCATTGCCAGATGCTTTATTGTTTGTGTGTACCTAATTTGCGTATTTAATATTCCCAAACTTGTTTTTCTTCATCTTGTGTTAGAAAAAGATACAACCTTTTCTTGTTCACATAAATAGCATATAGAAATGGATATTTCCCATACTTACTGTGGTCTTCAGCTTATATAGAATTTACTTTTGACCACATTGAGGGATAAAACCTAAACAGAATCTAGTAATTTTATACTTTTCAGCTATTCATGATAATCTTCCTCACAGAAGTTTTTCAGCCCTGGAAATGTATCTGTTTCTGTTGGACCTGTGTCTGTTTTTCTTTTTTCCAATCAGGACCAAAACCAGTATTGATGCACAGTTGAAAGATGGTGCATCTTTTCATCTGAAAATTGTTTGATAAGAGCAGCAGATGAATCCACTTCCTTCAGCAAAACAGATGTGTAATCAGGTTCAGAGAAATTAAAAAATAGCTTGTCAAAAGGGATTGCATTGATGTTTGTTTTCCTAAGTCATGCAAATCTAGTGGTCTTACAGGAAAACAAACTCAAGTAGGTGGAAGTTCTTTTTTCATCTCATCTTTGCTATTTTTGGTAAAACAAGTCAACAACACTTGCTCTAATAATGTGTTGCAATAGAAACCACTTATGTTTCTCTTTGTGGATGTTCCTCCATCAGACCCAGTCTTGCTAAATGCAGGTGTCTTTACTTAGAGAGCTTTTAGAAAGCACTCCTGCACGAGCAGAGCTGTGATCAGAGCAGTGCCAGCTTGTGAAGGCTCAGTGTCAGCCCATCTAGTCTGTGTTTCCCCAGGTGACACTCAAACATTTCAGGGCTTTCAGAGCAGTGGGAATGGAGCTCAGTTGTTTAAAGAACATCCAGCTGCTACAGGGGATCTTGTTTTTCCTCCTGGGATTCCCATTCATTGCACAGTGGCTGTTTCATGCAGTGAGGAGTCGTGACTGTGTAGGCAGGAGCCCCTCGGACGCACAGGTGTGACCCAGCAGATAGTGGAGTGGTTTGGACACACGTCCTTATCTTAGGGATGGCCTTGGTTGTTGGCCCTAGACTTGCCTTTTTGTGGACTTCCCATGTAGTTATTTTCTGCAGGGGGAAAAAAAAAAAGTATTTCCACATCTGTCTGGTTTTGGGGGATTTGGTCGGGTGGGTTTTGGGGAAGGTTTTTTTTCCATAATGGAATAATAGTAGTTCTTTTGGAAAGGATTGCGGCGTTGGTTGTTTATTTTTGGTGTGTTTGTTTTTTTGTTTTGTTTGATTTTTAAAGTTTGTTTTATTTTCTTTCCTGATGATGCTGGTGTGGAGTTTTTTTATTGTCTGTGGTGATTTTTCTCTTTCAAAGTAGTTCTACTGGTGGATTTTATCATTAATTGCTTTAGTCCCTTTTAGAGTGCAGATAATGAATATTCATATCCCCCCCTCAACATAAATACCTGAGTAAATGTTAGTAATTGGAATATCAAAAATATTAAGAAATTTTTTTTTGTTGGGGTGACTAATTGGTGCTGACTGTTTAGAACCATTCAGTTCACTGCTGACAGAAACCAAGCCTTTTCACCTTTCCATCACTGTAAATCTTTTGGAATTTATTGTATGTTTGGAATGAGCAATCCCTGCTGTGTATAATGAATCCTTTTTTTTATAGCATTAGTTTCCATCAGAAAATGGACCTCTTAGCAGATTGAGCCTAAACCTTAGGGATAAGAAGTTATTTAGTTTAAATAGCACCCATTGACACTACTCTTTGCTGTAAATATTTCAAAGCATGTAAAAACTGGCTCGATGTTCCTCTAGGGCAGTTCAGTGAAAATGTGGTAACTTATTAATCTCTTTCTCTCTCTTTCTTTCTTTCTCACACTCCTTCCCTTTCCAAACTTACTGACTTCCCCCCCTTTCTTTCCGCTGTTTTTCTCCCTCCCTGCCTGTTTCCTCCTCTCTCCCTGCTCCCCTGTGCTCCCCCAAACGTGCCTGTACAGAAGCATAAGGTGGATCTGTTCTACAAGCTGCGCCATGTGATGAACGAGCTCATCGACCTGCGCAGGCAGCTGCTCTCGGGGCACCTGACGCAGGACCAGGTGCGAGAGGTCAAGAGGCACCTCACGGTGAGGCTGGACTGGGGCAATGAGTAAGTACTGCTGCCACCTGCTTGTTCTCATTCCTTTTAAGTACCTTTCTTTAACAAAAAAACCCAACACGTTTCATTTGCACAGGTGGGATTGTTTGAAAATGGAATATAAGTTTTTGCAGTGAGTTTGTTGCACAGTTCTGCTGTTGCTGTAAAAGGAGCTGTTTACTGGTAGGCCTTTTCTAAGGCTCTTTGCACTTCTAAAAGGATTAGGTCACTTTACTTACCGTGTGTCAGTCTAGGAAATGTTAGGGAGGATGTGTTCAGAGCTACTAAACCCACATTTTTTTCCACTGAAAAAGTATTTTAATGGTCGGTGCAAGAAGTAGAGAATCTCAGAATTAACTGGGACATTGGAGCCGAGGTGTGGTATTTGGACTTTTTATATAATGACATTTCTCAGAAGTTTAGACTCTCCTTTGGCAGTTCTGTGGTGAAGTTGTGGAGGGTTGTTTTTAAAGCCAAAGACAACTGCAACACATTCACATAGAAATGGTAATAAAATGCCATTAGACAAAAGCCAGCATAGTTTGTTCTGAGATGTGTATCAGACAGGTAAGCTGTGCACGACACACGTATGACTCTCACTCTCAGGCATATAGTGACTCCTTTTCCACCAGGAGTGGGATTGGCCCTAATGAGCGTGTGGGAGTGGGGAGGGGTTGGTGACTAAGGAAGAAAATCCAGGATTTTTCACTAAGCTCTGTTGGACTGTGTTCCTGAGTCACCACCTCAGTCTTTGCTCTGAGGGACACACCTGAAGTTTAGTGAGGCCCCAGGTTACATTTCATGTCTCCCTTGTTGAAGGAAAGCTCTGAAGGATATGAATAGATGGCATCATCATTGCTCTGCAGTGCAGAGCTTAGATATTTTCCATTCTCATTCCCAGTAGGTTAAATGGGAATCAAGAGACTGTTTTTGAACATTACACCTGCCTGGTTTTGCTCGGAGTTTACAGATGAAATTAGCAACAGGAAGCAGCAAAAACGTTGTAAGAAAAAAGCTGAGCAGAGCAGACAGCAGTGCAGCAATGAAGAGGATGGGTTGTCCTATGAGGCAGCTATAGACTTTCTTAACGTAAAATCACTAAATAGGAAGATCATTAACCACTGTAAGTTAAATCTAGTGGTTGACAGTTTTGGAGAAGCATCAGTGAAATCAGTAAATATAAGTGTGTTCATGATTATATTCATCTGCTCAGGATGCTTGGGTGGGAAAAGAACAGGTACTGAACTCCCTCGAGAGAGAAAGGTACATGATATCAGAGATACCTGCAGTATTTAAGTTAAAATGTCTGGGAATTTGAAGGTATATCTGCAGTATTACTCTTTTCCATAGAATTTCTGGGAGAGTTCTTCCACTTTCTTCTATCTCCCCTCTCTGAGTTTTACCATAAAACTTACAACCACCTGTCTTAATCTTCTAAAAAACCTGAGGATTTTCATATAGATGTTCACATAGTATGGTCCTTTCTCCAATATTATAATAGTGGTCATTGCTTATTCTGTCACAATGGAGATTTGCAGATCAAATAAATGAAGAACATTGTTGTTGACGTGCATTATTGTTGACTGAGAAGGTTGAACACCTGCAGTTGGAGCAGGGCTGTAATTATTCGAGGTAGAACCACCTCTCAAGAGATATTCCATGACCAAGTAGCTTTCAGGAAACAGGTAATCTTACACATCTAGTATGTCATGTTTGCTAATTTAGTGAAAAGCTGCTTTTACCCTGACATTGGTCATTACTCAGTTACATTATTTGGGAAGGAGTGATGCAAACGTGAAAGTCACACTCGCTGTCACCACCAGTGAGGGGTTGATTTTCAGTTTGTTGAACTGGTGTGGTTTTCCCCTAAATACGCTGGCAGTGTTTCTGGAAGTCATCTCATTTACCTAAGAGAAATAAAATTATTCTAAATGAGGCTTTGGTATACTGAGAGAAGGAATACAAGGAAAATTAAAGTGGTAAAAGATCAAGGTGAAGTGGACATTTTTGGAGCAAAGGGAATGAGATCATGCACACTGCAGAGATGTGATGAGCTCTCCCAATCTCTTCTTAAAAACTGGATGTTCATCTTAAAGACCTTTTTTTTTTTTTTCTGTCTTTAGATATAGTTCTGCAAGGTTCTTCCAGGAGGAGCTGTTAGGACTTGTGGTTTTATGAATTCTAAATGCTGTAGGGTTTGTATTGTAAATAAACTAACATACTATAAATTAGGATCATTCTTCAAAATTGCCATTAAGCCCAGATTGATTTTTTTTCAATACCTTCAATGCTGAAAAGGTCTGTAATTTTGTCAGTCGGTTTGTTTTCATGTCACTTGAGAGAAAAGGTATGCAGGGATTTTAGGTGGTGGATTTCTAAATTACTTTTCTCCCAAAGAAAGGCAAATTCTAAAGACTTTTATGTAGAAAAGGAACAATGTCTAAATGGCAGGTGGAAGTATCCCAGGCATGTGCTACCAAGAGGTGATTGATGGGTTTGGGGATATTTTGTAGGTATAGTTGGGAAATCTTTTTGAAAGGCGGTTCAGTGCGAAGGCAGAATAAAAGGGCACAAGAATTTGCTTGTAAAAGGAAGTATTGTGGAGAGAGGAACTGTCAAATAAACAAAGCAGTACATTATGTAATTTTTATGCATGCTATGTTTTGGAGAAATACTGCTTGGCAGCTGCTGCCCCCAGTATTTGATAATAGAGAGTGAAAGTGGGCCACTGACTGTCATTGCTGTTTCAAGCATTATGTTGTCAGTCCTGCAGAGACTAAAAAATAATTGATACAAATTCAGTGTACAAAGCTGAACTTCCACCTGCACAGGAAATGGCAGCGTGTTGGTACCACAGCAGAGACACCCTTATTTGCAGGGAGCAAGTATTGTGCAGGATTAACATAGAATTAGAGAATGAGAATCTTCTGGGCTGAAAATCCACGGTGTTAAGGGATTTGACTAAAAATAGGGTATGAGATAAGTTTCACAGGGATGCTGCTGCAGTTGTGTTGAACATCATTAAGTAGCAGATAATACGTTTGTCATGTATTGAGTAATGAGTCCAACCACTGTTTGACCTCAGGTCTCCAGAGAGTTGAAATGATGCAAATACAACCCTGGCAGGCTGGAATTGGCTCTGCCAGCTTTTCCTGAAGAACTTTCTTAGAGCTTTGGAACTGCCCTGGAACTGTACTGCAGGGACAAGTGGGTTTGATAACATTAGTAGGAAATGATTATTTCATATCTGTGTGTTGAGGACAAATTCCTTTATCAATGTGCTTTAGGGGTGGGTGGATGTGTACACATGTGAATGTCAGGGTGTTTTGGAGGTTCTTTGGATATTCAGATTCGGGAAAAACTCTGTGAATGAATTTGACGAGCATTACCATTTTTTAAAAAAAACCTTTGCAGTGATCTCTTACTGCTTTTACCTGTCACCAGTTTTATAAGTAGGCTCAAATGGCAGCTGCAGTTAAGGGTTACCCAGTGCATTCTTATTTTAGTCTTTTTCATTTGGTAAATAGATACAGTCATTTTCCTCTTTGCAGCTGCAGTTTTCAGATGCTCGTCCTGAGCCACAGATAAGTTATGTTTGATAGGTTTAATCAAAACAAAATGTGCAGAAGGTGTAAAACCATCATTTCACAACGGGGCATTAGAATCTGGAAATTGGTATTTGACATGAAACTGCACTGAAGAAGGAAAACCCTTCCTTTTTTTTCCCATTGAAAATGTAATTGATTTTGGCAAAGAACTAAGAATGTGGAAACTCCAGTTTGTCAGTAGGATATTTTGATGACTGTACAGTAGTGCCTGGCAGTTGTTTGCCAGCAAGTGAACCAGGGCCGAGCTGTATTTTTGAGATGTGATGGTTTAGGGATATAAATAAAGAAGGAAAGTTGGATTAGGCAAAGTTTCAAAAAGAACTGAGGAGTTTGGAAACTTCTGGGTAAAATGTTTGAACTGCTGTGGTGAGCAAAGGTAAGGGAGCTCCTCCTACCAACCTCTGCTTCTGCCTTGCTGTTGTTTTAAACCAACTGCTCAGAGAGACACACTCTGTTGCCTGGAGCCTCGTGCTTACTGCTCCACACAATCACTCTGCAGTACCAGAGAGGTTTGTGCCAATAAAATTTTTCATTTGCCATCAGGAACAAGTCTGTGCAGAATGTTTCCCTCTCTGATTACAAAATTAAATTGACTTTTCCTTTTCTTTTGTAGTTAGTGACAGAAGGAGTGCAAAGGTGGTTTGTGAGGGCATCTCTTCTATTTTTTTTTTCATTAAGACTGTTAAGAATTTCAGTATAAAATATCCATAAGTGAAGAGTCAGTTACATCAAACAAAAGCAGGAAAATGGTTAATTCATGTGTTTCTTTAATTTGCTCCTAGTATGTGTGTGGAGAGTAGCTTTTATTGTAATGCTCAGAACTCTTTGTACCTCAGAACCTGGTGATCCATGGAGTGAAACCTGGATTTTGTCACCTTTCAGGATGTCTTGTTCTGCAGTCTACAGTTCTTAATTAATTGTTATCAGGTTTTCATTTATTTGTCTGGATGAAAAATGTTATTCTGTCTGCTGCTCACCTGCAGCTGTGACCTGAACTGCTGCCTTTACTGCTGAATTCCTCAACCAGTCGTCTTTCTTACGCTGGGATACATTTTTTATAGTTCATGTATTTGATTGGAGCCAACATATTCCATTTAGAGTAATGGAAAATTACTGTTTTCCACTACTACAAATACAGATTAAAGTCCTTGTTATTGTATTTATTATTTAGAAAAAATGCAAAGTTTACACAGTGATGAAGCTGGGGGTTAAGTTGTACGAACACCAGCAATATCAAAGTGGCTTCCCAAGGCTGGGGATCTGTTTGCACATTTGAACAGGGCTGCTAATGGAACTTTTTCATTATTTGGTGAAGGAACTTACTCAAATACTGCAGCACAAACCAGAGTACAGGCTTTATTTGCCTGCTGCTTTTCCATATTTGAAATTCCCTTGTTTTGGGTACTGCACCAACATACTGGGCAAACACCTCACCCTGCAGTAATTGCTGGAGCTCCACTGAGGGCAGGGAACAAAAAGGAACAAGTTCACGGTGGGGGTTTGTTTGATAATTAATTTTATTTCGAAGGGTTATCTGTTTATTGAGTCCCAGTTGCAGTGAGACTGCACTAGGTTGGTGTTTCCCTGTCCCTGCCCCTGGGTAGCAGCTGACAATGAACACTGATGGGTGACACTCACACTGCTCCTCCCTTCTCTTTTGCAGACACTTGGGCCTGGATTTAGTTCCTCGGAAGGACTTTGAGGTTGTGGATTCAGATCAGATCAGTGTTTCAGATCTTTATAAAATGGTAAGAAATCCATGGGAGATGCCTCTGAGTCTTGACTGTGGGAGGGAAAGAAGGGAAAGTTTTTATTCTTTACTCTTACATGTTTTCTTTAATGGTGCTGGAGCTGAAAGTCTTCTTCATTTGCACCCTGACCACCAGAACAGTCAGGGTTTTGGTACCCTCAGTTTAGTGAGAATGAAGCAACTTTCTTTTGGAAATGGCATGCTTGGATACATTTATATTCCAATTTATAAAGTGACATGATGTGAAACCTGGTGAAGGTTTCTCTGAGTCCAGAATATCCATGAGAGCCAGTGTTTGATTCCTTCAGGAGATTTGGGAATGAAGAATTAAGTGAAAAGTCTGCTTTTAGGAGCTGCAGAGATAATAAACACTTTTGCCCTGTTACAAAGGTTTTTGATCTCACAGAAAAGGGGGAAGAGACCAGTGAATAATTAAATTTAGGCAAAACTAATCCTTGAATATTAAATCTGTGTTGTGTAGTGCCCTTTAGAAAACACATGGGGTGCATTTGAATATTTGGGTTTTCAGGTGAGGTAGTTTAATTCCTTTATTGGAGTAAATTCCAAATTCTATCATCATTACAGTCCTGTTAGTACATGATGAAGTTACAGTTGGTTTGGAAATGTGAATTGTGCCATTAATGAACTGTAAAGCCACTGATGCATTTTACAACTTAACTGTGTTTGGATTCTTTGTTAGTAGGAATGATACAGATAATTTGGTTTGGACTGTGTAAATAGAGAAACAGCATGTAAAATTCAGGACAGTGAATGAAAACCCTTCCTCAGATGCTATTTTATGTAAAAAAGCCCCAAAACAACACAAACAAAACCCCTCAGCAGTTGTTTTATACAACTTCTGAGCTTAATGTCTGCCAAAGAAAATAGTGGCTTTTCTACATAATTACTGTTATAGTGCCACTCACTTCTAGTAAACTTTTAATTTTCTATTTTAAAATGGATCTGACTTTTGGCTGTGTAAGATTAGAGAGTGACAGGTCCATGTCTAGGTGGAGTTTTTTGATATGCAAGATGTACTTCTCCCTAAAACAAAGGCATCTTTTGCAAGCAGGCTGATGCTGTTGCTGGTTGGGATTATTTGCACCATTTAACAGTGGATTTCATGGAAAAAATTACAAATTGTTACTTAAGCAATGTGGAAGTGCATCACTCTGTAGTGCTGATTTTAGTGTTTGTTCCTAATGTGCCATAGTCTGAGGAGAGTTTGGTGCTATGACAGCAGAGTTCTCCCTCAATACAATATGGGAATAACCTGGTACCAAATTCAACCAGTCAGGACTCAGAGAATGCAAGATGAGTTGCTCACAGGATTGGTTTATTACTCAGTTCTTTGTTCTGCACATTTTTATACTCTGAATACTCGGGGTACTGCAAATAACCAGTATTTATTATCAGAGCAGTCTGATTATGTCACTCAAGTCCCAAAGAGAACGTCCCCAGCACATTGTGCTGCTCCGTCCTGGGCTGGTATCAGGACCCAACCATCAGTCACTTCACACTTCACTCTTACTGCACTTTGTAGATTCAAGAAGACAGTGCTGTCTGATCGTGTCTGCGTCATGTCAGGAGGCAATTTCAGGAACCAAAGCAGCTGAAAAACTGTTGGTTTTTTTAACACAAAATTCATTAGAAATTGATGGAAGGGAATATTGGTGATTTTAGGTAGTTTAAGGGGTATTTTTTGATGTGGTTTGGGGATTGTTTTTGTTATTTAACAAAAGCTCAGGGAGAGAATCTTCCTTACTCCTGGCAAAATACTTGAAGGATACTCAAATGAGCAACGAGGTTTTACATTGTAAATTTGCAGGAATAGCTGGGAGAGCCAAAGTACTTTCTCCAATTTGCAGGGTTGTAGAATGTTAAATGTAACAAGGGGAACAGTCTCATGTTAGCAGAGCAGTGGAGGAGGTGACACACCAGACTCTCCTCTCTGTGACAATTTGTTGTCAGGCACTTTGTACCGAGTCGTTAGACTTAGCATTGCTCTCCTTGGTAAATTTTCAGTCTTCAAATGTGAGCATGTTTTTTAGCTCTCCTGTTTCATGGCTGAGCATATGTGTGAGTGCTGTATGATCCTGTGTTCCCCTCTTTGTCAGAACTGTTGTTCTTTGAGGCCTTGTCCCTCCTGTTTCTCCAGGTTGCTCGTTCTGAAGCAGAGTGCCAGCGGCTGCAGCACGAGCAGCGTTTGTCAGGAGTCGTTGCTTTGCTCCTGCAGGAAACCAAATTGCCCTTTTCTTATGACAGTGTTTGTGATTTTTACCAATACGACAGAACCCTTTAAAAATTTGTATTACTTTTGAAATGGTGGGAAAAGATGTTCTCGGGATTCTGCCCCAGAGCTCAGTGCTGGAGTTGCCGTTGGATTGAAGGTGTCATTTAGGAACACGAAGTGCTGCACAATGTCAGAAACACTTGGATGGCACTTCTTAGTGAAAGGGTTACAAGACACAAATGTTGTGTCAAAAGTGGAAGTTGTTTCAAAAAGTGGAAATGTTCAAAACTGGTGATTAAATAGGTTTTTTATAAATGTATTGGTTTGGGTATGTGTCTCGGGGAGGTGCATGAAAGGCACAGCTGTTGGCTCTGTAACTGCTACAGCTCAGTTGTTTCTTCCAACTATATGAAAGAAATACCATGAGTTTACCAGAGTTCCTAAGAAATAAAGTTTCTAAATAAATAGTTTCAAATTAATGCTGCCATCACCTCATAACTGCTTATTCTTTATTCAAGTGGAAAACGTGACTGGCAAGAAGGAACAGTTATAAAACTCGATAATTCAGTTGCCCAGAACTCTACTAGAAAAGGAAACCAGCTGGACACAAACTCTTTGTGTTTCTTTTTTGGCTGTTGTTTGTTTGTAACAAAGCAGATTCTCAGAGAACAGGTTTGTGTACATTTGATTCTAAACCCCAGGAAGAAATCAGATGAGAATATGAAGATAGAAAGCAGTTTGAGACTGACTTGGTAGTGATGAGATTCACTTACCAAGCATTGTCAGGAAAGGGAGGATGAAAAACAACACTAAAAACTCATATCGGTAGATAAGATATCCTGAGAAAGGAGTTTGGTGGGAAAAGAGAGGTAAGGAGAATTAATATCTGTTTCAGTAAATTAAGAACCACATGATGCTCACTAAGAAGCCAAGTTGGATAAATTCAGAATTCTTTGTTGCCTTCAGTCATTGGAGTGAAAGGGAAATGGAGATTACCAAGAGCAAGAATGGAAGAACAGAACTGTAGAAAAGTAGAGTAGCACAGATGGGTAAATGGAAAAATTAGAAAGGCAATGCACAAAGTCAAATATAACAAGCAAATGTGGTCAATTGTATGAAGAAATGGTTTTATATAAATTAAATAGTAATTGAGAAACTAAAGAAATGTTTTAGACTGAGGGAAACAAGTTGGCACACAATGCAGTACGATACTGTGGCATTTCATGTCCTTACCCTCCTGAATTCTGCTCAGGTGGTCACTTGATGAAGTAATTACCAGTTCCAGGGGATTTAGGACGTGTACATTTCACTTGGGATGTCTAGAGAAGCCACATCAGCCATGTCAGTGATAATCATTGGAGAGATGGGTGAGGTTCCAGAATACTGGCAAAGGGCAAGCAAACTTTAAAAAAAAGTGTTGGAGGAGGAGAAGCAAATAGTTATCTGCCTGCAGAAATGCTGGGGAAAAACATTAATTATTTGCAACAGGAAGGTGAGTAATTGTGAGCATGAACTTCTTCAAAATAAGCAATTTTTAGAAGTTACAATGCACTTCCAGAACAAAAATAAGTCTAGTGGATAGAGGAAAAGCAGCTGATACCATATTTCAATTTTGATAAAGGTTTTAAATGTTTTAACTGGAATTCTCCTGAAGTCATTAGTTTTAGATGAAATTACTGTAAACACAGAGCTAATTAGAAAACCCATGCTCAAAAAAAAAAAAGTTTTTGTCAATAATTTGATTAAATAGGAGGAGGGATGAATAATCTGAATTTCTTGTGGTCATCCTCCATTTTGTGGTGCTTCATGTTTAATTAAGGACTAGATGCTGAAATAAGGAGTCTGCTTCCTAAATATGTAACTTTCACAAAGCTGGAAGTGGAATTTTGACTCTTTTGTTGGACTAAAGGATCAGAATTCCAAATAATGTGGAGAAGTTGAAGAAATTTTACAAAAAGTGTAGTATACAAATGAGAATCAGCAGTGTGAGTTTGAACTTCTGCAGTTGGTTGTTCTCTCTGAAGTACAGGCTGGGACACTGCAAGCTTAGATGGTTTTGTAGAGGAGATTTGAGTATTATAATGGAGTCACAAGCTGAATTAATTAATCTTTTCATCCTGATGATGGATAAGGCAAAAATCAGTGGGCTGAGGCTACAATAGCAAGGAATCAGTTTAAGCATCAGAGAGCACTTTGATAAGATGTGCTGAACATCTTATCTGTTCGAGTTTGCACAACTTAACCAGGCAACTCCCTCTTGGGAAAAATAAAAGTAAAACTGATTTTTTTTTTTTTCTAGAGGGAAGATAGATAATTTCTTAACAGTCCTATTTTTATGTCACCTTGTTAGGCTGTTCAGGTTGTAAGGGGACCTCGGGGGAGATCTAGTCCAGCTTCTTGCTCTCAATGCGAAGTCAGTGTTGAATTCAGACCAGACTGTTCAGAGCTTTGTCCTGTTGGGTCCTGAAATTCCTCAAGGAGAGAGATCGGGTCCCTGCTCTAATGCTTGGCTGTCTTGGTTGGGTTACTTTTTCCATGTTGGAGTTGATGACCACAGTGCTTTGACTGCTGTGAAGGTCTGTAAAGAACCTGTCTCAACTTGATGGTAACTTCACAGTTACAGCAAAGCTGCCCTCAGGTCACCTCCAGACCTTCCCTTCTCCAGACTCAGATTGCTGTTCCCTCCATCCTGCTCTTGCACCCTGCCCTCCAGCTCCCTGCTGCTCCCCTGTCCTTGCTGAGCACGGGGCAGTGTTTCAGCTGGAGTTGACTGAATGCTGAGTAAAAGGGGATAAATGTTACCCCAGTGACATTGGGCACATTCCTGATAACAGGAGCAGTAAATTGTTGGAGGTCCTTGCTGCCAGAGTTCTCTGTTGACTTAGGTTTGACTTGCTTCAGTAGGACCCTGCAGTCAGTCTGCTGCCCCCAGTCTGAGAGCATCTGGGAGCTGATGAACTGCAGGGGTCTCAGGGCAGACCTCTGAAGAATACACACCATCAGCCACTACCTTTGGAGCTGACAGTCCAACTGTTTGTTGGGGTTTTGGGACCAGTATGGTCAGTCTGCCCATCCAGGTGTACCTTTCCAGGGGTACAGGAATGCTGTGGTGAGGGCCTTGCTGAGCAGGGACAGACAACAGCCATTAGTCCTCCCTCATCTGCTGATCAGGTCATTTCACACCAGAGGAATCACTTGATCCAGTATGATTTACCCTTGGTAAACCCACGTTGGCTGCTTTCAGTCACCCTCCCATCCAAGTACCCAAAAACGGCTTCCAAGAGAACATGTTCACTTTGGGCACTTTGCTTGGCAAGGGTATGAAAGAAACTCAGTCAGTGACTGTATATTAATGGTGTGGTCCTGAAGCAAAGAAGCAGAGAGTTAGTGAAATCTAATCTTTTGACTGTGGAAAAATATAAAACCCAACTATGTTTTTGGTCACTTATTGTTACAGATTTACCTCAGTGGTCACTCTGTAAGGAGCTGTGTTCACTGAGGAAACTGGAGCTCTTCAGACACCTCTCATATTTATGGTGCTTGAGTTTCTCACCCGCTTTCTTACTTGGATTTCGAGATGAATTTTAGTCAAAAGAAGCCAGGACAGGATACCTGGAGCAGCTTAAATAACTGGTCTTTTCTTTGCCAGCTGATTCTGAATGGTTGCAGGTGACAGAAGATTCAATAAGCAACTCAGCCACCTAAACTTAGATGGTTTTTTGACCTTCAGAAGCTGATACAGTAGTTAGACAAACAGTGGAGCTGGAGATCATTATTTCTTTTACTGACAGTGTGAAAGAGGACTTTTCTATAACTGTGAATGTAAACAGATGTGAAAATATGCCATTTAGAATCAGAGTTGTTTAGTTTGAAGAGACCGTTAAGATGATTGAGCTCAACCATGAACCCAGCACTGCCAAGGCCGCCACCAAACCATGTCCCCATTCTACACACCTTTGTGTCCCTCCAGGGATGGGGACTCCACCACTGCCCTGGGCAGCCTGTTGCAATGCTTGGCAATGCTTTCAGTGGGGAAATTTCCCCTGATATTCAGTCTAGTGGTGAGGGGACCAAAACTGAGCCCAGGATTTGAGGTGTGGCCTCACTAGTGTTGGATACAGGGCCCTTCTTGGCAGCCAATCTTCTCCTTGTGCTACACAGTGTCAGTGTTTGGTCAGAATAAGATGTTGGGTTTGTGAGAGAAGGGGCAAATGAAGAGAATGTTTAATAAGGTGTGGTAGTGTCAATGGTAATATTTCAGCTTAAAATGCTAATGTTGAGATGATGAGCAGGGAACGGGCATGGCAGAATCATTAATGATATGGTTTTTTAAAGCTCTCTGAAACCTTTTCAATTTAGATTAGTATTTAAATCTCCCTTTGGAGATTAAATGGGTTCAGTGAGTCTTGCAGTCCATTTTTTGATTATAACATCTCCTTCTAGCATAAAAGGCTTTAAACACAGCATCATCCTCTGAGTTCCTCTTTGGACATGTAGCTCATTATACTGATGCTTCTTTACAGGTGTTGGTCAGCTGAAACTGTAGAGGAGCCTTCAGCCTTTATCAGGATTTCATCTTTTGATTAGAGCGAAAGATTTAAACAAAATCTAAAATCCATCTTTCATTCTAGATGTCTGGGTTTTTTTAACAAATGCACCTTTTCATTGACAGCATAGTGGTAGATGAGGATTAGTGGTGAGATATCTCCCTGTTTAACAGCAGAACACATAGATTATCAGCATAGGGTGATGAACTCTTCAGAAATGCTGGTACAGTGTTGGAAATTCTTTCTAGCTTGTGACAGCCATTTCCTTTAAAAGTGAAGGTAAACACCCCTGTAAATTGAAGTAGTTAGGCTAAGAAATGGCTTTGCTGAGAAAAACCTTCAGGAAAGCTGGGAATGATATACTGTGAAAAAAGGCCATATAAAGTTGGTAACAATTTTAAAAGTCATATTTTACCATTACTGTTCTAATGCTACACAAATATAAATATTTCTTACTTTCAAAAAGGTTTAAATTGTACTATTTTGTGTCTCCACAGCATTTGTCAAGTAGACACAGTGTCCAGCAGAGCACGTCACAGGTAAATACCACCCACATTGGAATTTTTTATTGTCTTTAAGTTGTATGTAAAGGTATGGTGGAGATTATTGTTAAGTCCCTACCCACAGAACACTTCCTCAGAAGATCCTCAAATGTTTAAGTCCCTGAGGTCCTTCTCAAATTCCATTTAGGTCTTTTTTCTTTGGCTCTGACTGTTCTTAAAAGATCATCTTGTGTAGTGAGATCCAAAGCCTCCCTCTGCCCACGTGACTCTGCTTTCTCCCTGCTGACACAGAGGCTTTGTGGCCTCTGCCTCACAGCCCCTTTCTGCAGTCATGTAATCCAGTCCTGGTCCTGGGAACTGCCTTGGATCTGTACAGGGATCTGTGCAGAGATCTGTGCTTCCACAGCTGCCTGTCCTTAAAAGAATGAGGATTTACTTGGGTTTAATTTCAAATCCAGAACAAAATTCCTTTTAAACCAGTACAAATCTTGAGTTGGAAGTCTGGAAATTTTAAGGTTTTCTTTGTTGGTGTGTACCAGTCTATACATTCAGAGGAGACAAGCCTTGTGAGCTTAGGATAATCATGCCACTTGTTTATTAAGATCAGCATAAATAGATGTAAAAGGGTATAAAACTAAAAGCATACATTTGCTTCTAATTATCCCCCCTTGTTCCTTGGGAGAAGAAACCACCCCCCACCTGGCTCCCCCCTCCTGTCAGGGAGTTGTGGAGAGTGAGAAGGTCCCCCCTGAGCCTCCTTTTCTCCAGGCTGAGTCCCCCCAGCTCCCTCAGCCACTTCTCATCAGACTTGTGCTGCAGACCCTTCCCCAGCTCCATTCCCTTCCCTGGACACACTCCAGCCCCTCAATGTCCTTCTTGTAGTGAGGGGCCCAAAACTGAACCCAGGATTTGAGGTGTGGCCTCACCAGTGCCCAGCACAAGGGCATGGTCACTGCCCTCATCCTCTGGCCACATAAATTATCTCTGTAAATGAATTGCAGCTGCTAAAAAGAAATAATGGAATAAATGTTATTCCTAAAAATGCTCTGAAGTCCATCTGCTTTAATGGAAATTACACTAAAGTCCATCTACTTTAAATGGAAATCATCAGGAACCACCCTAGCACATCTTATTATAGTTCATTTTCACTACCAGTATAAAGCCAAAATCTGAGAAATAGGATTGACATGGTTTACTTGATAAAACCAGATTTCAAATGCATAAACCATTTATTTCGTATCTACTTGGTTATCGTGGTTTCTCAAACTATTGAAATTATAAGTGGAAAAAACAGAGGAAGAAAACTTAACCTAGCACATATCTGAGGCAGAATATATTTGAGATTAAACTTAGGTGGAGAAAGGAGAGTGGAGTCTCCGTTAAGATGATGGAGTTGGTCCCGTGTCCTTTGTTTGTGGAGAACCACAGATGATTTCCCCTGGTTCTGGCAGGTGGACACGATCCGTCAGCGCCACGGGGAAGCCTGTCGCATGCCAGTGCCTCACCACTTCTTCCTCAGCCTGAAGAGCTTCACCTACAACACAATTGGAGAGGACACAGATGTCTTTTTCTCTTTGTACGATGTCCGAGAAGGCAAACAGATCAGGTAAGAACTGAAAAGCTTCCTAGGGAAAAAGTTACATATGGTGGATATACATTGGAGGAACAACCTGTGGTGTGTTGCTGTGGCACAGCTGAAGGGACAGAGCTGCTAAATCATAACTTGCCAGCCCTGCAGTGCACAGGGGGGAATGTCAGTAACAGTGGTGTTTGCACGTGAAGTGTAGGGAAGCATTAAAGGCACAGGGTGGCTGGATTTTGTTTGAGGTTTCTGACTTTGCCTCCCCACGTTACTGAGGGTTTTGATGTCTCGTAGCTGCCTTCTCAGGGCTGTTGCTTAAGGATCCCCAATAAAGGCCAGGCCAGGCTGTTGGATGGTTCGAGAGCACTGCTGTGTGCCTGGTGATGAATGGAGGCCCTGTAGCTCTCCTCCACTCCTTGCCTTACAGGCCTGTCACAGAAAAGCTGGTTGTCATTGCTCTGCTGCCATCAATATAAACTATTCACATTCGTCCCTGTGTCTGTGCTCTCAGCACATGGAGCTGATTGGTACCAGTGGTCACAAATGTGAAATAGGCTGGGTTTCTCCTTTACAACTGTGTGTTTTGAAAACTGCAGAACACGTACAAGAGTATTGCAGCATTTATGTTGTGTCTTGGAAACTTAGTAGGTGTGCCTTGGTCTGAAGTACAGCGTGTCTGGGGGGGTGTTCTGAGTTTTGGTTAAGGCATGTCCTGCCAGTCAGCACAAACTATATTTGCTACCGTAGTCAAAACTCTCCCAGTTCACAGCAAATTGGATTTAGAGTTGTTCCAAAGTGAGGGAAGAGCCACAAAATGTTCTTTCCTCTCTTCAGAAGAACATTAGTATGTGAGTAATGCTCATCTAAGAAAGTTCAGAGCAGAGTGATAACAGCTTTGTAGCTCTTCAGAGTACAGCCCACTGTAAAACTGGTCTGAATTGGGAAGCTCTGATGACTTGATTACATGTCATAAATATGTCTGCCACCGTTTAGTTAAGCAATTTACAGGTTGTTCCATAGAATATGGCAAGAATGCCCAACCTGGTAGAACATAGTGCTTATTTTACCCCTCAAGTGAGAAACACTTGCTTTGATCACAGAATATCCTGAATTGGAAGGGACTCTCAAAGATCATCAATGTCCAACTCCTGACCCTACACAGACACACCAACAATCCCACCCTGCTGAGAGCGTTGTCCAAACACTCCTTGAGCTCTGGCAGCCTTGGTGCTGTGCCCACTGCCCTGGGGAGATTGTTCAGTGCCAACCACCCTCTGGGGGAAGCTTTCCCTGAGATCCAACCTCAACCTCCCCTGACACAACTCCAGGCCATCCCCTGGGGTCCTATCCCTGAGAGCAGAGATGGGAGCTGTCCCTCTGTTCCCCTCAGGGGATGTTGAAGGCCTGCGAGGTCTCCCCTCAGTCTCCTCCAGGCTGATCAGCCCAAGTGCCCTCATCCCCTTCTGGTGGCTGCTCAGACTCCTCCTCATCCTCGGAGCTCTGCTTTGGACACTCTCCAGTTGCTGTACTTTGGGAGTTCATGCCTATGATTCCTCTATTAAGAGAATTACCAGAAAATAGCTGTTAAAAGAGAAAGGTGAAATTGGCAAACCAAATCAAAAAAATATACTGAATTTATCAGTTTCTACCACAGAGCAGTAAAATAACAAATTATTTAGATGAGGAAAGCTGCAGGGAAGAGGAAGGGACAAGTGGACAAGCTGCTGCCAGCAGAAATTGCTTTGAAAGGAGATAAATTGTCTTGGGCTGCATTTGCATAGTATGTAAACATTGAATGGAAAGCCTTAAGAAGGGATTTTGCCTGTGATAAAAAAATAAAGTAATAGTTATAATGAGAAAAAGCACAAAGAGTGGTTCAGACATATTTAAATCTATATAGTAATGCTTTGATGTGCAAACAGTTGTTATTGTTTAGCTCTTGGTATTAAGCACCAGTGATCTGCTGCAGTGAAAACAGCATAATTTTTACATTTTCTTACGTCCCAGGGAGTGCTGGGGAAGAAATGTGTAATGAGGCTGAGCTCTGTTTTACAGAAGAAACCAGAAAACAGACAAACACATTGCTACAAATTTAGAATGATGTTTTTATATCTACTTGAAAAGATTTTCTTTCCTCTCAGGATATAGTACATTAAGGTAAAAAGAAAAAAGCAAACAGGTAAAGCTTCTGCTCACTGCATTCTAAATGAAAGGGACAAATTCACTTCTGAAATGGTTTTGAGGTTGATAAATTGCTTACCCAAACAGCTCCTGCTGGAGGCTGAGTGGCTTTCAGCGTTACTGCTTTGGACATGTGCTGGATTACAAAGCTCCCTGAACCTGCTGGGGGGAAGAGTTATTTCCCACTTAGTTAAGGGAGGAATTGGTGACATTTGCAGTGTTTGTCAAGGGCTGAACTAACAGCGGGTGCTGGTTGTGGATTAGCAATCAGAAGGTTGAAGCTGCAGCAGAAATGCAGTTTGAGGTGGTTCTCAGGTTCTGAATACAAATATGTTCCTGTGTTTGATGGTTTGTGCTGTCAGAAAAAGGAGGAGGGGACAAAGGGTGACAGTGGGGAGCTCTGGACAGCAAGAATAACAATGCTGCTGTGAGAGGGCTGAGACCTAGAGGTAAACACAAGGAAAAACTTAATTTTTAGTCTGAGAGAAATATAAATATTCACTTGAATATGCACTTGTGAGTGCACAGAACTTAATGGCTCAGGTCAAACGGGATTCAAGTTTTCTGTCTTTTTTAAACTGTTTGGGATTTCCCCCCGCCCCAAGAAGTCCCATGTTCTTATGTACAAAAGCCATTAGTCTGGCAACATAGTCTTTGTTACTAAACTTTTATACCTCAGTTTGTTTGCTACGTGGAAGTTAGAGGAAGGTAATGTGATAATTGATCCAGCAGGGATGTAGAACCCCATTGTGAGATGTGCCTTGGGATGTGTGGTCATGGCATGATCCAGTCGACAGTAACGTCAAAAAGGAAGGAATGAAAATGTTGATGTAAAGATGGTGAAACTCCATGTGGAAGGGTTCGGTAAACATCAAACAAAGATGGGTAAACTGATATGGAGAAAGGACATTTGAGAGTTGTTGGTTTCTTAACGATACTGTTGAAGGGCACAGAAGCAAATCGGTTTGGTATGACAGAAATATTCAATATATGGCAACAACAGAAGGTCTGTATCACCTGTTCTGTGGTGAAATAGTCTGGAAGGCAGTATGAAAAAAGGAGAAACTGAGGAAATCACATGAACAGGGATGGGAAGAGACAAACTTGTAGGAAAAAAATACAATTAGCAAAAGACATGAAGGACCAAAAAAAAGAATAGTTCTATAATGCTTTACCAGCAAAAAAATAATTTACAAAATCAAGAAATAACTGAACAGATTAAAGAGGACTTTAAGCCATGAGCAGATGTTTCCAAGATAACTGGAGTATTTAATGTCTGTTTTGCCTCAATCTCCCTAAGAAGGTCAGCAAATGCGAAAAGTTGGGGAACAAATAAACTACTTGTTAGCACTGAGAAACCACAAGACGATAAGTAAAAGTCAACATAGATTTGTCAAGCACAAATCACCTCAGAGCCAACTAATTTTGTTCTGGTATATGGGAATGCACCTCCTGCCTCAACAGAAGAGAAGCATTAAATTTGATATGGTACAGAGGGACATGCAGGCTGGATAAAACTGCTCCAAAAGAGCTGGAAACTGGTAGAAAAAGTGATGCAGGGCAGTTATTTATGCTGGGTGAATGCAGAAAATATGATATCTATTTAAATGTTTGGTCGTTTATTCAGCGTGATTTTGAGGGGTGGAAATGAACTAAATTCAGTAAAGCAATGAGGAATTATACAGAGCTTAAAAAATTGCACGTTCCAAAGCACAGTAGCAGGTTTTGTCTGAAAATAGGCTTGAAAAGTCCCCTAAGTATCAGAGAATCACAGAATGGCCTGAGCTGGAAGAGGCATTTGAGCTCCTCTCATTCCACCCCCTGCCATGGGCAGGGACACCTTCCACCATCCCAGATTTGGATGGGGCAGCCACAGCTTCTCTGGGCAACCTGTGCCAGGAACTCCCCACTGTTAGAATTTCTTCCTGATTTCTTCCCAATATCCAATCTAAACCTACTGTCTCATTTTTAAGCTGTTCCCCCTTGTCCTGTCACTCCAGGCCCCTGTAAACAGTCTCTCTCCATCCTTCTTGTCTGCTCCCTTCACGTACTGGGGGGCTGCAGTTAGGTCACTTCTGGAGAAGTATTCCCTTCTCCAAGCTGAACAGTCCCAATTCTCTCAGCCTTTTGAGTGTGGAAAAAGATAAATAAATTTTAGTCTTATTTTTTCTTTATAAAGTTCATGTTTAAACATGTAAATGTGTTTTATTCTGTCTGCATGTTAAACCAGTTACCCTGCTTTACACCACTGGGATTCAAAAGTTCCTTGTTGTCTAGAAATGTCCTCAATTATGGAGAGCGAATAGAACAGAAAAAGAAACTGTGATGTGATTGAGTTTGAAAGTCTGGGGCCTAATCAGGAATTATGCATGGAAAAATGGTGTTGTGCACATTTCTGCTTGTGACTCCCCCACCTGCCTCCTCCTCCTTGCTGTGCCTTTCCATGCCCATTCTGGTAAAGACCACCTTGTGACTGGAGGTTTGGGAAGATGTGCTGAGTGCCCGGGGTGGTGTTGATGGGGTTGACAGAGAAAGTCCTCGTGGGTGTTTCTCATCTTGAGCCTTTTTGTTGAGGGACCAAATGTTCCCTGTGGTGCCTGTACAAGGCATGTGTTTGCTGATGGTCCCCTCTCATTAATACACAGTGTTAGGAGAAGACCTCACCATCTTTCAGCTGGTCTGGCCAGTCCAAGTCTCCCCTGCCTGGGGGTTTTTGTGTGTGTGCTTGCTGCTCTCCCTGCGGTGCCTTTTCTTGCTGTCGTTTTATCTCAGTATGACATTCTGGATACTCAGGATGGTCCCTTCTGGTGTGTGGACGGTCAAGCAGAGGCAGCAGTTGAGCT